TTTTCTTTATTATATTCTATTTTACTCAATTTTACTCTATTTAATTCGATTTATTTTACTCAATTTTATCCTATTTTACTCCATTTTATTTTATTTTTTCTTTCAGTAGCATTTAGTTGTCGTAATTGTTTAATATTCACCGACGCTCAACCGATTCTAATTTGCCGCATAACCTTTCAGAGAATGCGTTGGAAGATAAAGTACTCGTTCATGCACTGTTCCATAATACAATGAAAATAATTGATACCTCGAATGGATACAATGTATCCGATTTAACCGGTTGTATAATACTTCTAAAAGCGTACGGGCATGTCGCGATTATGTTAATAATTGCTTTAACAAGCTCATTAATTCGTACCATACACGCTGCCGCGCGTAAGAATTCAGAGATGCCTAACGAAAGCTAAATTAAATACACGCATATTATATGATTATAACATGTACGATTATATTGCGGACATAATTAACATAGTGAATATTAATCGAGTAATTCATTTTCATGATTTATAGTTCATTATCATTAAGCGATGTAAAATCATTAATACCACTTATTTGAGGAATTTAACCAGATAACCATCAATAAACATATTAAATATGTACATTGCGATACGGAGACGAAACATTTATTTATTATGTACGCATCGTTTATCACACATTCTGTAATGAAAATGATTGGCCAAGATTATTGCAAACGTTGTTCAAGACTGTTCGATAATAATACGGTATTTCAAATCGACAGTTCAAATTATGATTGAATAATTAAACAATACTTGTTTCACCATGGGTGAACAGGCAATTTTGAAAAATCAGAAATTCCAAAATAGTTTAAACGTTTCCATCTCAACTGCTGACGTCATTTGAAACAACTTTTTCCTTTACAAAAATTTTCTCCGAGGCTTCGTTTACGAGTTATTAGCGGAAAACACTGACCAATCGAAGAGCGAGCGCGGCTGGTGCCCCGCCCTGCGGCCAATGCCGCGGCGCGCCGGCCGTCTGACGCAGCGGCGGTAGTCTCGTGGGCGGAGCGTCAGTCGTCCGCGATCTCTCATTAGGCAATATTCTTTCGTTAATAACTCGTAAACGAAGCCTCGGAGAAAATTTTTGTAAAGGACAAAGTTGCTTGGATTGACCTCAGGATCATCCCTCGCCACACTGCGATACATTTTTGGGACATCCTGTATTATATCCTATACATATATAAGAAATCTGTACTTTCTACTTAATAAGCTTATAAACCCTCACAAGATAAATTGTTTCCGATGATCACTGTAGACGAATGCAGGGTCATTTTGACTCGTAATAAAATTTCTGTTGCAAATTGGCGCTGGCGGGTCAAAATGACCCAGCATTCGGCGCACGAGGCTCGAAGTAAAAATTAAATTTCACCGTCTGTTTCTTGCCACGAGGCCAGACAATCTTCGTGTTCGAAACGAAAGTGCCCTCCACCCCTGCAAGCCACCTACCTATATCCAGGTGCACCCGGTACATTGACAATCGCGGTCAACATTCGGATCGAAAAGAGCGAAATTCCAAACGCGACACTCTTTACCGGCACAGCGCCGAGAATTTTCGGCGTGCCGCCGCCTTTACATTTCCCGTCCCCCGGCCTCCCCCCGCGCCATTTATCAACAGGGCGAACCCTTGTTTCGCGTGACTCGAAGACGGGCCCGACGCACAATCGTCACGCTGTCGTTTTAACGATCGTTAAAATTAATGACGCGCGAACCGAGTCGAACACTGAGCCACCCCGGCAGAAGCGTTGGAAAGGGGTTGGTACGCGCGCGCGCGCGTGCGCGCCGCCGCCGACAAGAAAAGGAGCCGATGAAATACTCGGCGAGATCCCGGAACGGGTCCTGTCGTTTTTCCGGCGACAGGACTGAGTCTGCAGCTTGCGCTTTGAACAGAGAGAGCGAGAGAGAGGGAGAGAGAGAGAGGGAGAGAGGGAGAGAAGGAGAGACAGAGAGAAAAATTGAGATTGAGAGGGAAAGAGAAATTGAGAGAGAGAGAGAGAGAGAGAGATTGAGGGAGAGAAAAATTCAGAGAGAGAGAGAGAGAGAGAGAGAGAAAATTTGAGAGAGTGAGATTGAGGGAGAGAAAAATTCAGAGAGAGAGAGAGAGAAAATTTGAGAGAGTGAGATTGAGGGAGAGAAAAATTCAGAGAGAGAGAAATTGAGATTGAGAGAGTGAGAAAGCGAAAGATTGAGATTCGGAGAGCAGGGAGAGAGAGAGAGAGAGGGACGTCCAGCCGGATTCTCGTGTAAATCGCGAGAAAAGAGAGCCGTCGAAAGGCGGGGTGCTCGGCCGAGGGGCGACTGCCATAAGTCAACGTCAACGACTCATCGATCGGGGAAAGTTGGCCCGCGCTGATCTCGCCCCGGGACGTCCGTGTATCTCTTCCAGCCACTTATGGCTCGCACGGATCGCGCACGTGTCGCCCGGTATATTTCCCGTTATATACCGGTCACTTGGCGGTGCGTGACGGGTTTTTCATCGCGGCGTTTTCACGGCACACGCATCGCCGCACAATGAACATCGACGGCACGAGGGTGTCCTTCCGGCATTATTAGGAGTTAACAAGATGTGAATCGATCGGAGATTGATGACCGCTCTGGGGACCGATACATCAACGCGCTTCCTTTCCGCGGGCATTTGGAAATCGCTGGGTGACACTGGCCGACGATGTGCACCGTGCAAATCGGGTGCTGGCGAGATTGGACAGCGCATGCGAGACAGAGAGAGAAATAGAGAGAGCGAGAGAGAGGGTCCGGGAGATAATTCAGTGGATCCGACACTAACAGTAGGGGGGATAGCAGTGCTTGAAGTTTCGATTTTGAGCAAACTTGAGAAAACTTTCCTGATTAATTTGTTGTTAAATTTATTCTACTTTAAGATTGATGATATATATAGATAGATAGATAGATAGATACAGATATATTTGTATCTAAATCTATATCTATATCTATATCTATATCTATATCTATATCTATATCTATATCTATATCTATATCTATATCTATATCTATATCTATATCTATATCTATATCTATATCTGCATCTATCTATCTATTTATTTCTCTGCCTCTCTCTCTCTCTCTCTCTCTCTCTCTCTCTCTCTGTGTGTGTGTGTGTGTGTGTGTGTGTGTACATATAAAAGAGAGAGTGAGAGAGAGAGAGAGAGAGAGATTGCCATTGAGATTGAAAGAGAAAGAGATTGAGAGAGAGAGAGACAGCGAGAGAGAGAGAGAGAGAAAGAGAGAAATTGAGATTAAGAGAGATTCAGAGAGAGAAAGAGAGAAATTGAGATGAAGAGAGATTGTATGAAAGAGGGAAGCGAGAGAGAGAGAAAGAGAGAGAAAGAGTGAGAGCGAGCAAGTACCACCATCAAAAAGTATCGCCAATCTCAAAGCCCCGCTCCCGCCCGCGCAAGATTAATAACCATCTAATTTCCCTCTCGAATGTAAAACGGCCCATAATTGGATCGTAGAGATTTCAATTCGTATATCGGGAGCCGATCGGCGGTCCAAAGAAATAGCCGCGGCGATAACGTCGGGTTCCGTCCGCAATGGGGAATCGATTCGCCGATAACAATAATTAAATTTTATGAAAGCGGGTCCCGATCGTTATCCACTTACCGGAAGCGGAAGCAGCAGCAACGGCAGCAGCAGGAGCCGGGAAAGCCTTCGTATGATTATCCGTTATCCGGCCGAACGAAAGCGGTCCCGGGCGCAAATGGCGAGAACAGAACGTTAACGAATTTTACGGCGCCGCGAACTGTGCCGCGCGACGAATCACGGCGCGGCGTCCGCCGGCCGAAAATCCTGTACAGAAATTAGAAGCCCCGCGATCACGGCGCGTTCCAAGTTCGCGGTCTCGGTTTCAAGCCGCCGCCGCCGCCGCCGCCGCCGTCGTAGCCGCCGTAGCCGCCGTAGCCGCCGCTGTCGCTGTCGCTACCGCCGCCGTAGCCGCCGTAGCCGCCGCTGTCGCTGTCGCTACCGCCGCCGCCTTCGCCGCTACCACCGCCGCCGTCGCTACCGCCGCCGTAGCCGCCGCCGCCGCTGACCAAGAACGATTTCTACCGCGTCCACGGGGCTCGCGCGCGCGTCCCCCTCGGACGCGCGGATATTCGAGCGCGAACGCGAGGACAGCGGCGCGCGAACGAGACTTTAATGCACACGTATCATCCCGGGGATGATACCTCGGGGGCAGTATTCGTTTCACGGCGGCCAAAGTGGATTCCCGATTTATTAGATCGCCCGCGGCGGACCGCCGCGCGCGACATTATTGCCGCGCGAGGAGCAAAAACTTCGCAGAGCGGCGTCACGTCGCGTCGCGTCGATATCCGCAATGTAACAACTTAAGATTCCGAGCGTCTTCCGAGCATTGTACGGCGCAGCTTTAATAAACACCAAATCGACTTTCCGTGCAAACAAGCTGCACTTTTATTTCATATCGATCACAAAGGAGCAACCGCGTCAATGAGGACTCGCCCTTGGAATCGATCGACAGAGAAGTCGCAGCGTTTCGCCACAATAATGCCGGACCTCGTGCAAGTTCGATAACCGGACGGGAGTTATCGTAGCTCGGATCGGCCTTGCGCTACCAGACCCGTCAAATTCGCAAGAATAATAGTAATAATCTCCCCTTCCAAAATTGTCCATTTTTGTGGACAATCCGGGAGTGTCAATTAGAGAGACATTATCGTATCCTTATAATACATCGAAGAAGAATACGTTGTAAAAGATGCCGGCGTCGATTATTCACGCAATCAATTATTTCGCTATCTCCCATAATCGACCCGCTTCAAGTTTCCGCGTTGTGCATCGGCCACGCGACGCGCCGATCCTCTACTTCGGCCATTTTTACGGCGAGCGCTACACCGCGCGTTCCCCGATAATTAGCCCGCGTAAAAGTTCGAGGCAGTGTCCCACCAGATTCCGCTTGTTCGCCAACTTTCATCATAAATTATCGAAACAAACTCGTCCCCTCGTTTTATTTTCCAGGTGCTCGAACGAGTCCACTCGACGTTATTGCGAGGCAACGAGCGCAGACAGAACCGTCCGGAGATCATCTGCAGCCGGCCGACGTTCGGTGAGCGATTATGCGAATTCATTGTGTTGCCGTGACGATTTTAGGGCGCGCTGGGAACACCGTGTAAACGCGTGTTTTGAAGCAAAACGAAAGTTCTGTCGCGGAAATGGTTGTTTAATATTATTATAAGTAATTTTTTTTAAACATTCTATATATATTTAAATATATTAAATATGTTATACTTCAATATATTAAATGTATTATATTTAAAAATATATTAGATTTGTTATATTTTGATATATTAAATGTAGTATATTTAAGTATATTAAATATATTATGTTTAAGTATATTAAATATATCTTCAAATACATTTGAATATATTTAAAATATATTAAATATATCTTCAAATATATTGAATGTATTATATTTAAATATATTAAATATATTTTCACATATATTAAATTCGACACATTATATTCCACACGTATATTAAATATATTTTCAAATATATTAAATATTAGAAATTATAAAACTATTCTTCTTTTAGCCTCGTTTGCAATATAACTTTTTAAACTTATCGCTCTCTTTCTAATTACTTGGTCTAATCGATCCCGTAGATTTTCAATGGGATTTAGATCTGGAGCTCGGCGGTGACCCCATCATCCTGGTAAAATGTACTAAAAAAAAACTCTTAATTGTCATACTATTTACACTACAATCCAATCACGATACATAAATCTTTTTTAACACAAATACGACCGTTAACAAGTCAATTTCGCCGAGATGCGAACGCTGAAAGAATTTTGGAGATCGAGCGACCCCCCTCCGGCGTAATTGGTCCGAGGAACAGACGATGGGAAATGGGCGAGGGAGGGGGAGGGGGTGAAAGGCGTGTCAGGCCGCGCGCAGATTTTCGTCCGTCGATTTTTTTTATCGAGTTACAAAAGGAGAAATTAACGCGGGCGCCGAACGGGAGCTTAGAAATTAGATTTCCTCGGTCGCCAGATGTTTCGTCAGGGCGCGAGCGCGCGCGCGCGCGCGTTCCTTTTTCCTGATTGCGCCCGCTTTTCCGTCGTGTTCCCCGGTCTAGGAAACAATAACGGAAAGAAAACCGTGCAATCTCAGCTGCGTGTGTCTGTTGTCGCGCGAAGTCGTAGGAAAATGTTCGCCTGCTCGCGCGGAATTATGGCACCCTTTCGAATTTGCGTCAGTGTTCCCCGAAAACTTTCGCCGGAGCTGTGCGCCCTTCTTTCATGATAATCGAATGCTTCGTCGACACTGTTGTATTTAAGTAGGCTGGCAGTTTGAAAATTTCAAGGAAAACGTTTTATTGTTCGTAACAATGGATTGCACGAGAAGATGGGGGATGTTCGTAATTTAATAGGTTTGCGAACGGTAACTATACACTAATGTTATATTGTACAATATTATTATACAATAATATTTTACTAGAATATTATACAATATTATAGTACTATATATACTAGATCAGACTACTATTCAATAGTATTATACAATATTATAGTACTATATTATACAATAATATTATACTATATTAGACTGTTATTCAATAATATTATACTATATCAGACTACTATTCAATAATATTATACTATATCAGACTGCTATTCAATAACATTATTCAATATTATACTACTATATTATACTATATTAGACTACTATTCAATAATATTATAAAATATTACA